TCTTAAAACCCATGTCTCCAGGAAAGGCTTGGAGAACACACCATTGACTAAGGCCTTGATAAATTCACTGGTAGCAACAATGTCTCTGAGATCTGGTATAACAATGGGACACACTGCCATTGACACGAGCTTCTTAATTACAGTGGGGTTAATGGAACTGAGAGTGGCCAAGGTTTCTTTGTTTAACCAGTAGAAATAAGGTGATGCTTTACTGTATTAGGTGGCAATGGCAGAGTGTTAGTAAAACTGTTTTAACTCATAGGGATCTATGGCAAGGTCTTGTGGGGTCTTTAGCAATGCAATGAATGGGCAGTCTACTAAAGTAATAATTTATTTGCATGTCTGAAAAATAAAAGTAAGTCCTGAGTCAAATCAGTGCAATGGTGAGTCATCAACCTTCACATACTTCCATACCTAAACCAGTTTAAAGACCAGGAGCCACTTGACTGAAGGGATCTCTAGGGTCTTTTGAGAAAGAACCTTGTAACATATTTGTGAAAACTTTTCCTTGATTCTGACTAGCTTTATGCCTGATTTTTATTATTCTCCATCAGTTTTCATCATTTACCTACCATTTATTTTGTATTAAAGTTTTTTTCTGTATCCTCCAACTTGAATATGTCCCATAAGAGGGATTTCTGTTTACATTATTCACTTCTACATCTCCAGAGCATGTATCAATGTCTTACCTTTGTAAAAGCCTTAATATTTTTTTGTTGAGTAAACAAGTGAGTGAATAAACAAATGAATAGCAATTACAAAATGCCTATTGTGTGCCTCAGCTGATCCCTAGTGATGCAAAGACATTAACAATAAGGCTTAACGCTTTCATTATGCACTCATTCAATCATACTCCAAATGCACACTGAAAATACTATTACTATTTCCACTTAGAACCTCAGTCTCAGAGACCTTTGACAAGTTGCTCAGGTATGCTGTTAGTCAAGGCGGAGAGCCCAAAGTCTTTTACCAGAGCTTATATATTCAATCCCCCAACTCCTGAACAGGGCACAGACCCTATCCTACAGAGCTTCACAGAGAAGTGAAGAGACAAGTAAATTTTTAAGGAGCTTTGTGTTCTAATGGAGGCTTGTATAGGTGTTGTGGGATCCTATAAAATCCTGCTGAGAACCTTACACTGCCCAGGCAACACACTGCTGTACAGAGAATCAAAATTCATAATGCAGAGACCAC